TATTTCGTTTAAAGTGACGATGAACTGGTAGTAGAATTTTCCCACAATGATATGACTAGACCGTACGTTTAACTTTAATTCCGAAAGAAATGTTTCAGTAACTTACATACGGCAGCTGGAAACTCTTAAAATCAATCTAGCCATCAGATTGCGTTTATTGACTTTGCGTCAATCCCAAATATTTTACATAACCTTTAAATGAATTAGTCTTATTTTAAAATAATGGGATAGGTTCATTTCAACGACCTTCACAAGGCTAATATATAAGTTATAAAACTTTTTAGAAAAAAAGCGTATAAAAGATGTCCTTATGTTTCACCTGTAAAAGTGGCACTTATGGCTAATAAAACCTAAAATGTATCAAGTACATGCTGAGACAATTTATGAAGCGAAATAATTAGGAGCTGTAGGATAGGCGAATCGTTTGATTTTTCATATAACTTTATAAAAATCTTATCGAATATTGAAATTCTCAGTAAAGAAACTTTCACAAATTTAGCAACTACCAAGTGAATTCGAAGATATGAAGACCAGGATGGTGTGGCCTTCATTTCTATACAAAGTGAATTGCTTGTTTTGCGCGACAATAAAGAACAAAATTCCGCAAGCAAATAAATTTTAATGACCATAATTTGGCTTCGGAACTATTTTCGTGAGGCAAGCTTACAACGAAATCGAGCTACGGAATTGAGATAAATTCGTTTCTGAGAAGCTCGCAAGCCCTGGGCCTCTTGACCCGTCACCTCCACCGTTATATTTCCGCTGAGGGCACTGATGAGACGGCAAGACGAGACCATATATAATTATACATATATAATTAAAGGTGAAGTATGCACTATTCATTGATGAATTAAGTAGCTTTAAGATTGAGCTTTAGCCCAGATTTGCTTCCTCAATAATATTTTGGTGTTTACACAGGTTGAGTGCTAGTGCTTCAGTAGCCTTCTGTCCTGGAATGTTAGTATGCATTGTTACCACATTGAAACTCACCAAAAGGTCATCTTCTCTAATACTCTGTTGATCTATCAATCTAACAAATTCATATAAATTCTTCATTGTATTGTTCAAATATTCAGCGACTTTTCTTAATTTATATATTTAGTGTAGTCACCCTATTTCGTGTAGGCGATAAATGAGACTTGCGCTTAAACATCATTTCCTTAATTGTATGCATGAGAATCGTAAAATTTTGCGCAACACACTTTCCTATACATGGGTTTTATGAACAGGTACAAGGCCTGGCAATTGGATCCTGTTTGGCTCCCATTTTAGCGAGTAATTATGCATCAAGAATTATGGAAAGCTTCATGGGAGAGGAGAGAATTACACGAAACTTGTTCTATAGATATATGGAAGACTAATTTACCATATGGCAGACTGATAAGGATAGTTTAGAGAAGTTCTTGTTCTTAATTAACTAGATTGATTATAATGTTAAGTTGACAATGGAGATAGAGAATGAGGGTAATTTGTCTTTTTGAGATGCTTACGTGATCAGAGCGGAAGAGAAGTCAAGCAGGATTGTATCTCAGTGCTAAGGATGGTTTTCGATATGGACTAATTAATGGAGCCTAGCTTTCTTTTCATACGAAATGAACGATTCTATAATATTAAATAATTAGGTGATTACTTGACGTCTGTCTTTCCTGAAATAAAACCCAAAAAAACTGTGCTAAAACGTCTACAAATGTACCAAGTCTACAGTCCGGTGCTGGAACCAACAATGATGACTGTTGCCGAGGATGCAAGAGGGGGTATATTTCACAAGGTCTCCCTGTCGTCCAAACCAAATTCCGAAAACGAGGTAAAACCATCCTATTACAGCTAAAGATGTCCGCCACCAAGCCAAAGGCCATACCATTTTAGTCTTCATCTCTACGAGCTACAAGTTAGTTTTTTTTTAAAAAAAAATCTTTAAACTTTAATGCATTTTTATGACTTCATTTTCCCAATTCGGTTGGGCATCGAACAACATACTCTTCCCGGCGTTGTCTAACATAATAGTCATGACAATTTCCAGTCTCGAACCCCGGACTTGGTAGTTTTTTAAACTGATGATGCCCATGAAATGTCGAGGAATATATCATTTCCTCGTTCTGATGTTATAAATTATTAATTAAACTAAGACAGAGGACTCTGGACAAGGTAAGTTCTTCCGGATCGTTAAAATCCAGGCAATATCAATTATATCAGCCATACTTCCCACGTAAAATGAAGGGCCCGTTGCCTCAATTTGGCCAATCTTGGCCTCCCTCGTCAGTTGTAACTTTGTGTTAGGCCTAGCACCTCTGAGTGACAATGCCATCTAGGATGCCGGCAAAACTTCTGAGAAAATACCAACTCACCAGTTGGATACAAGAAAGTATCCTGACTACTCTGGCTCAGGACGCAGGTCTGGGTAGAACTACATCTTATTCCCACTAGATTGCACAAACTAAATCAACTTCACTTACTAGTCCTTCATCACTTTAGCGAAGTATTGTGAACACACCTCATACACATCACACCAACAAGGGCATGGCATCTTGAAGAGCGGCAATAGAGGATTAATTTTGGTGCCACCTGGTGTACTCACCTGGAAACAATTGATCTGCATGGCTTCCCTGTTGGTAGATCTGGTCATTTCTGACTTGTTGCTGTGCAGAAGGTTATTTTGGGATGGTGACGAGGAGGGCGATGAGGACGAAGGTGAGTAGGAGGAGGATGAGGAGGATGACAAAGATGAGGAGGAAGAGGAGGAGGAGACTGTGGAGGGCAGTGGCAGAGAGGAGATGGAGACTGGGGCGCCGGAGAGGACGTCTGGGTGGCCGACAGACGAAGGAAAGATGGAAGAGCTGGAGTCGATACAACCAAATGACGGCTTGGTGGCTGAGGTGAAGGAGCTGGGCTGTACGTCATTGGGGATGTTGGTTGCGGCGAGGGCGGAGGAGAGACATAGGGCCGAAGTAAGTGTGTCACCACTCAGCGATCCATTGGTCGCACACACCAACAGAGGCTGGGCGTGTACGGCAGAGACATTGGCCGACGACTCATCTTCTTCGCGGCCACTTGGCGCAATCGTCGGCC